TGACTTCTTTCTCCCCTCTCTCTCCAGATAAAATCTTGGGACTTGTGACTGCAGGCCGCCCAACAACCTGCCCGCTTGACCCTATCCCCTCCTCTCTTCTCCAGACCATCTCCGGTGACCTTCTCCCCTACCTCACCTCGCTGATCAACTCATCCTTGACCGCTGGCTATGTCCCTTCCGTCTTCAAGAGAGCGAGAGTTGCACCCCTTCTCAAAAAACCAACACTCGATCCCTCTGATGTCAACAACTACAGACCAGTATCCCTTCTTTCTTTTCTTTCCAAAACTATTGAGCGTGCCGTCTTTATCCAACTCTCTTGCTATCTCTCTCAGAATGACCTTCTTGATCCAAACCAGTCAGGTTTCAGGACTGGTCATTCAACTGAGACTGCTCTTCTCTGTGTCACGGAGGCTCTGCGCACTGCTAAAGCTAACTCTCTCTCCTCTGCTCTTGTCCTTCTAGACCTGTCTGCTGCCTTTGATACTGTGAACCATCAGATCCTCCTCTCCACCCTCTCCGAGCTGGGCATCTCCGGCGCGGCTCACTCTTGGATTGCGTCCTACCTGACCGGTCGCTCCTACCAAGTGGCGTGGCGAGAAGCTGTCTCCGCACCACGTGCTCTCACCACTGGTGTCCCCCAGGGCTCAGTTCTAGGCCCTCTCCTATTCTCGCTATACACCAAGTCACTTGGCTCTGTCATATCCTCACATGGCCTCTCCTATCATTGCTACGCTGACGATACACAACTAATCTTCTCCTTTCCCCCTTCTGATAACCAGGTGGCGAATCGCATCTCTGCATGTCTGGCAGACATATCAGTATGGATGACGGATCACCACCTCAAGCTGAACCTTGGCAAGATGGAGCTGCTCTTCCTCCCGGGGAAGGACTGCCCGTTCCATGATCTCGCCATCACGGTTGACAACTCCGTTGTGTCCTCCTCCCAGAGTGCGAAGAGCCTTGGCGTGACCCTGGACAACACCCTGTCGTTCTCCGCTAACATCAAGGCGGTGACCCGATCCTGTAGGTTCATGCTCTACAACATTCGGAGAGTACGACCCTGCCTTACACAGGAAGCGGCACAGGTCCTAATCCAGGCACTTGTCATCTCCCGTCTGGATTACTGCAACTCGCTGTTGGCTGGGCTCCCTGCCTGTGCCATTAAACCCCTACAACTCATCCAGAATGCCGCAGCCCGTCTGGTGTTCAACCTTCCCAAGTTCTCTCACGTCACCCCGCTCCTCCGCACACTCCACTGGCTTCCAGTTGAAGCTCGCATCTGTTACAAGACCATGGTGCTTGCCTATGGAGCTGTGAGGGGAACGGCACCTCCGTACCTTCAGGCTCTGATCAGTCCCTACACCCAAACGAGGGCATTGCGTTCATCCACCTCTGGCCTGCTGGCTCCCCTTCCTCTGCGGAAGCATAGTTCCCGCTCAGCCCAGTCAAAACTGTTCGCTGCTCTGGCACCCCAATGGTGGAACAAGCTCCCTCACGACGCCAGGACAGCGGAGTCACTCACCACCTTCCGGAGACATTTGAAACCCCACCTCTTTAAGGAATACCTGGGTTAGGATAAAGTAATCATTTTACCCCCCCCAAAAAAATGCTAAATGACGTAAAGGTAAATGTAAATGTAATGGTAAAAGACCAAGTCCATATTCTGGAAAGAACAGCTCAAATAAGCAAAGAGAAACGACAGTCCATCATTACTTTAAGACATGAAGGTCAGTCAATACGGAACATTTCAAGAACTTTGAAAGTTTCTTCAAGTGCAGTCGCAAAAACCATCAAGCACTATGATGAAACTGGCTCTCATGAGGACCACCACAGGAATGGAAGACCCAGAGGTACCTCTGTTGCAGAGGATAAGTTCATTAGAGTTACCAGCCTCAGAAATTGCCGCCCAAATAAATACTTCACAGAGTTCAAGTAACAGACACATCTCAACATCAACTGTTCAGAGGAGACTGTGTGAATCAGGCCTTCATGGTCGAATTGCTGCAAAAAAAACACTACTAAAGGACACCAATAAGAAGAAGAGACTTGCTTGGGATAAGAAACACGCGCAATGGACATTAGACCGGTGGAAATTTGTCCTTTGGTCTTGAGTCCAAATTGGAGATTTTTGTTCCAACAGCCGTGTCTTTGTGAGACGCTGTGTGGGTGAGGGGATGATCTCTGCATGTGTATTTCCCACCGTAAAGCATGGAGGAGGTGGTGTTATGGTGTGGGGGTGCTTTGCTGATGACACTGTCTGTGATTTATTTAGAATTCAAGGCCCACTTAACCAGCATGGCTACCACAGCATTCTGCAGCGATACGCCATCACATCTGGTTTGGGCTTAGTGGGACTATCATTTGTTTTTCAACAGGGCAATGACCCAACACACCTCCAGGCTGTGTAAGGGCTATTTTACTAAGAATTAGAGTGATGGAGTGCTCCATCAGATGACCTGGCCTCCACAATCCCCCGACCTCAACCAAATTGAGATGGTTTGGGATGAGTCGGACTGCAGAGGGAAGTGCTCAGCATATGTGGGAACTCCTTCAAGACTGTTGGAAAAGCATTCCAGGTGAAGCTGGTTGAGAGAATGCCAAGAGTGTGTATTTTCATTTGTTTACCACTTTTTTGGTTACTACATGATTCCATATGTGTTATTTCATAGTTTTGATGTCTTCAGTATTATTCTATAATGTAGAAAATAGTCAAAATAAATAAAAACCCTTGAATGAGTAGGTGTTGTAAAACTTTTGACCAGTAGTGTACATTGAAAGCTACCAATGCATTTAGCCATTTAATTGTTGTGGGAATGCTAAAACTCTGGGGTTTACTAGATGTACTTCACGCCCATTAACCAGACATGAGTACCAACCTCCGTAATATCCGTAATATCTATTGAACTTGCTGGAATCAATAGAGTCTGGTCCAACAATAGAACATCAGTGGCTTCACTCTTTGGGGAGGACAATTGGGTTTTCCTTTCTCAAACACACACCAGTGAGTGCTCTCATGAGATTCATTGATTAGGGCTGTGATGATGGCTTCAACCATGCCTGGCCTTGCTCGCTCGCTAGCTCTCTCTCTTGCTCTCTCTCTCTGGCAATCCAGGCCCACTGGCCCATCCATCCCTCAGAGCTGAGCCATCATCATCACTGTGTCAGAGGAACCAATCATGACCAATTACTGGGATTATCTTTCAGTGATCACAGCACATCTGGCAGCCATCAGCCACTGTATAGATTGTTGGAAGCAGGGGAGACAGCAACCTGGCAGGCCAAGGTCTGATCCTAGCTGCTAGAGACCTGGCCAGTGCCAACAGAGTTGAATTGCAACTAGGGGAAAGGGGCATACCTAGTCAATTGCACAACTGAATGCATTCAACCGAAATGTGTCTTCCGCATTTAAGCCAACCCCTCTGAATCAGAGAGGTGCGGGGGGCTGCCTTAATCGGCGCCCGGGGAGCAATTGTTGTCGGGGGTGAACTGCCTTTCTCAAGGGCAGAACGGCCGATTTTTCAACCTTGCCGGTTCGGGGAATCGAATCAGCAACTTTTCGGTTACCGCCCCTATAATATTATGATGATCATCATTACCACTCAGCCTCTTTCTTCCAACCCTTATCTCAACAAGTACCAACGCTTAAGAGGATTTATTGATAGCTTCATCTCTGGTGGGGAGCCAAACATCAGCCAAAAGTAGAATAAATCTTTGATGGAAAATCAGAGATATGTTGCTTAATCAATTTGACTCATTTTATGTGTTCTTCTGGGTACTTGTCACTTTCTACCAAAGCACTGAACAGTACCCTGAGTGGCGCAGTGGTCTAAGGCACTGCATCGCAGTGCTAACTGTGCCACTAGATCCTGGTTCGAATCCAGGCTCTGTCGCAGCCGGCCGCGACCGGGAGACTCATGGGCGGCGCACAATTGGCCCAGCGTCGTCCAGGGTAGGGGAGGGAATGGCCGGCAGGGATGTAGCTCAGTTGATAGAGCATGGCGTTTGCAACGCCAGGGTTGTGGGTTCGATTCCCACGGGGGGCCAGTATAAAAAAAATATGTATTCACTAACTGTAAGTCGCTCTGGATAAGAGCGTCTGCTAAATGACTAAAATGTAAATGTATGTTACCACAGTGTCTTAAAAACTCAAATCCAATGTGCCTCCACTAGTATAGTAGGATAGAGGTAGTGTAGTAGAGACAGACAGGTATGTGACTGCATGGTGTGATGATGATGTAAGGGTCTTTCACAGATGATTGGTGAACACGTTTGCGGAGGAATTAGGCAGCGTCAGATGTGACATCTGTAAGGCGACACAGTGTGCCGCATACAGAGCCCTCAGCCATGGACGGGGCGTTGGCTGTAAATGGGGCATGCTAAAGTAACCCAAGGGTCCTCTTTGTGATCGTTTACGCTATACGGTTACTCTTATGTGCAAGATCCACTTACAGGCATAGTGCTCCCAAGACTAAACATGACAGAATGCTTTTTCAGTCCCTTATGGTTTTTTGTGTCATGTCATGTGCAATTCATTCTTGTTCGTTTTTGTTGGCAACCTGGTTATTCTGAGAACATGGGGCAAATACACAATAAAGACAAAGGTTTTTGAATGGCAGGATGCCAGGCAATACTTTTCCCTTGGCAAATATTTATCCTAACATCGCAGGGACACCAGAAACACTGAAACTCGGTCTTGTCTGCTGTTTTGGTTGACTCTTTGATATTGCTGCTGATTGTTGTTTTGATAACGTTATCAGTGCTATGCTGTTCCATTTTAGAGAATGAAAACCCCTCTGTTCTGTATGTGCTCTGCTTGACTCTGCTGTGCATGTCTCTCCTGTGCCACGCTGTGCTGTGCTATGCGAGACTATTGCGTATGCAGTTTTCACCTAGCTATTGAATATGTGTGCTGTCTCTCTCGTGCCTCTCTCCCTGTAGTGTAACATCTTTGATTGAAAGTTGTCTGATCGTGTCTGTGTGTCTCTGTCCTTGTCATTAGGAGTGCCATGATTGCTGACTGGGTGTACTGGCTGTCCGGGGGCTCAGAGGAACACATAAGCAAGCTCATCAAACTGTATTGGCAGGTGAGAACAGATGGCCACAGAGCAGAGACGAGGGGCCCACCGCCCAATCAAAAGCTCAATGAATGATTATTGCTTAAAAGACTGCCGACTGAGGTTGCTCTTTGCATATCAATCAGGCAGAACGCTGCATAGCAGTAAACGGTTTCTAATTAACCAGAGCACAGCGGGGTGGCGCCTAGTGAACCTAACCTCAACACTGGCAAGCAAAGGTCATCCATGAATCAGCCTCTAGACTACTGTATGGTTACACAAACATTGTCCACTCTCTAATCTAATCTTAATGACCTCCACCACTACTATCACACAATTTACAGAATTGACAGAATACATGTCATGTGTTTGCTATGTTTTCCAGTTTTTACTTGCCTGGCATATGTCTAGCGTCATAACCATGTAGTGCTGAATATAAACCCCAAGCTTTGTACATCAGTTTCCATAAGATGTTGGAGGTTGGCGAAGGGACACATGCAAACATAGAGGGAATTACACTCGCTGAAGTTGCTTTTCTGCACTTCAAGTTTAGCAGAGGAAAGGTGCAGAGTTTTTTTTTAATTCGGAGGGCAAAATGAATGCTTTTGACCTTGAAAGTGGGTTTGTACGGATCTGCATTCGCTTGAAATTGAGCCACGATTTCCATTCGCTTGAAGTGAGATGAGTGTGGAATAGCTTTTAGTATACAGTACATCAAGCACCTTCCGTTTTATTCATTTCCGTCCCATGTGAATTTCAATACGTCTGTGTGTGTTTATCCTGACGGCCCTTAAACTAGCTCCTAACATCACAAACAGCCTTCTACCCACTCTGGGTTTCAAGTCCCTCAGTGAGAGGCACAGATTTAGAACCACACTACCTCCACTTTGAATGTTTCCTTTGTCAAATTAGCAGGGGAGAAACTTCAGCCTTGTATTGACGTCAAGGAGGCATTTTGTTTTTCTATCGCATGTCCTTTTTTTGTAACGATTTTAATAGATAATATTTTCAGCTAACTCATTATATATTTTAATGCGATACTGTCTCACTAAACATGCACATGGAAATTGATGTTAATATAAAATCTGTTAGAGCCCTAGCTGTGGCATTTGTTTCAGTGTGATACATTTTCTTTCCTGCTGACAAATGGCTCAGAAGTTCTCCATTGCTACATCAAAACGCAACACCCCCAAATTGAATCAATGGCCGTAAGTACTGTAGGAAGATAATGTTGTGTTTCTCTGGGTGGTCAGACTAATGAAGCCTCAGCTCTTTCTTCTTCACTTATCAATAGAGGTGATTAATAAGGTAGCTAGCTAGCGATCTGAAACTCAAAATGAACTCATTGACATATTACTGTAATCTGCTTATTCTAATGTCATCCGAAATAATAAGTGGATGGAGAGCTGAATTGTTTGGTAGGGTAATATTTCCCTTTAGTACCAGACAAATGTCAAAGGTTATGGGAAAGCCAAAGCCATGCTAATCCCCAATCCATAATCTGTTCCCTCTCATTCAGTGTGGATTTAAACGGGGAATAGATTAGTCTAGGAACACCGTTAGTTTCCCAGTTGCAATGTTTTATTCATCCCAACAACCCAATGGAAAGCATAGCAATGTGAAAATTCTTAAACATTTTCTTGTTTACAATTTTTTAAAATCCCAGTCTATGAAAGCACAGAAAACAGTGAGAACAAATGCAACCTTGAATGGCCAAATCAGTAGATCTACTGTAGCAGCTCTTGTAGCAGCCTGAACAATTCAATCAGCTCTGCTTTTAGTAACTTTAATCATTTTAGGAGTGTCTACCTCTGAATAAGGAAATCAGGGGAATGAGTCACGTTGATAACAATGGTGCTCTCTCACCCCTCCTACTCCTTTTCCTCCCTCTCTTACTCTCTTCCCTCCCTCTCACGACTCCACAATCCCAGGCTCTGTTGGACGATGCGATCACCATGGAGGATGGTTTCTCTGTCATGTACACCCCGCACTCTGCTGGGGACTCCGTGGGGGATTGCATCGCCATGGCTGAGGAGACCTTCAGGAAACAGCACCCCGCCTTCACAGACTACCTGTTCACAGGTATGGAATATAGACCAGGGGGAATGGGAGCGAGGCTTAGACTCTCATCTCTATGAGATTCATCCTTTAGAAATGACAGAGCTCCCTCCAGTTGAAGTAGTGAGTGAGATGAACCTTGTTTGCCCCCACACCTTCCTCTCATCAGGAGGCCGTACTGTAACCTGTTCTCCTCACTGTCAGCCTGCAGCTCAGACTAGTCGGGGTGGAACACACACACTGCCAGTGCCTCAATTAACCTGCCCTGCCTTCACTTCGCCTCATCTTTCCACCATCCCCTCCTATCCAAAACAAATGCATATCTACAGACCCCTGCCTAGTTCAAATAAATCCCCCTCTACCGTGGTTTAGCCACGTTGGCTGGTTACCCCCCCATGGGCTGTCTGTTAAATCCCCCAAGGAAGTGTGTTCCAATTTGAGAAGTGCTGTTCCATTAACTCTTAAAGATGCAGTCCATGATCTTAACCACTTACAAATTCGTAACATATTGTACAAATTGGAATTCGTAACGTATCATACAAATTGCACAAAAACATTTATAATTTTTTTTAAATTGCAGGACGTAACATATTCGAAATGGATGACATAGTACACAATTGTGCAACAATTTCGGGGAGCACTACTTTTAAAACTACTGGCTGAAATAATACAAAACCAATGGAGACTCACTTTAATTACCCTCTGCACTGAGACATGGGCTCTGAATGGTGCATGTGTCCGTGGGCAGGTCCGATTTCCCAAACTGCCATGAGGCGAGGCTTGAGGTACAGTGTTCAGGAAGGTCATCAGCAGGAATGGTTGGAAGAGGGGAGGAGAGAAGAGGGGAAGGAAGAGGGAAGGGTAGTACCCACAGACAGTGGATGAAAAGGGCTAAGGATCTCTGAAGGCCTTGATTAAAGTTAGACTTGCGCTCAGTTCTCTGCTTCCACCCAGCCAGGATAACAAGCCAGGCCAGTAACCCCCAGTGACACAGGTCAGAGAGGAGTGGGGAGTGCTCTCTGGACCAGCCTCATCAGTAACACCACCACACAGGGGAGGGAGATATATATATATATATACACACACACACACACACACACACACACACACACACACACACACACACAAAGACTGAAAGAGGAACATTCACTTGAGTTGCTCCAGAAGTCTAGGCCACTGTACATTAGCACCATTATTATTATTATAAGACTCAGTGAGTCTTTCTGAAGTATATTGCTTTTTTGTATTGTACATTCACCATGGAAACTCTGTATTCATAGACACAGCAGGGAACCCATCATCCATCCATCACCACTCTGTGGGTGAGTGTCTGTCTGGGGTGAATCCTTTTAAGGCTAATAGAATTAGTCTGTCTCTCACACATACTGTGCGTTATATTAGTCATATACAAAGAAAACTGATTGGATTCTATTGATTTGAGAGGAACATGGTAGTACCTATTAGAGTTGCTTCAATGCAGATGTAAATGAGCTGTTAACTAAATGTGGTGCAACATATCACTTCTCACTTCTGAGATGTACTGTATGTTTTTGATGTACACTGTCCCTGTCCAAATAAACATAATAAATAAATAGATTAAGATTTACCTTGAATGTATTCATGTTAATTACCCAGCCCTCCTGTTCCTCTCTGCCTGTCCCCCAGACCCCAGTGGATGTCACCTGCTGCCCCAGACCACAGACTGGAGCAATCCCCCATCCACCCAGCAGAAATACGTCCTCACCCTGGGCTTCAGGAGGGGACAGGACGGCAGCTTTCTCAGCAAACTCACCAGCAGGACCTGCCCCTCTTTCACAGCTACAGGTACTGTACATCTATCTCACTGACGCGTGACACTGCTGGCACACACAGAACACAGAAGTCTGTTGCTAGCAGCTGTAGCCACTGAGTTTGTTGTGCCGGCTACTGCAATACTTACCAACTCTTAACTCATGTATGCCTTTCAGTTTGTAAAACTATTTTTCAATTTTGGAGTTTGTACATCTGTTGGTCATGCTTGTTTTATTATGAACTGAGAGTCGATAGAGTTGTTTTCTGAAGTGGTTGCAGATGATGTAGAATATTGAAGTATGCAGACAGACAGTTACAAGTCAGTGAACACCCTTGACATCACACAGAGTGGTACAACTGTGACCTAACCCTTGATCTGGTGATCATGTCACACTGTCAGCTCTGTGTCCTCACAGCACCTTCATACTCACAACACCAAAGAGATCCCACACACACACACACATTTTCTCTAAAACAGACACACACTTTTCAGAATGAACAAACAGCAATGCTGCCGAGATACATCATATTTATTAGCGACTATTCAGGCAGGGTTGTTGCATACCACAGTACTGCAGGCTTAGAACACTAAGTCGGATGATGGTATGGAAATTGACCACAGGCTTTCAGTTCATTACATTACTCAGCTGGGCAATTTTGGAATTAGTGGATTTGTCATTTGACCCCAGTCATCTTGCATTCATTACGTCAAGGGGGACAGGTGAAATATTGACACTGTTGGAATGGAACAGAAATAAGAGATCTAGCGTCTGTATTATGCATTAACATTACACTTCACATGGTCTAGAGCAGTGGTTCCCAACCTTTTTTGGTTACTGTACCACCAACTCAATTTTGCCCTTGCCGGAGTACCCCTGAAGTACCCCCTCATGTGCATTTTACCAGTAGGCCTATGGTCTCATGAGTCTTCTCAAGTACCCCCTGTGGATTGGCCAAGAACCCCCCAGGGGTCCTCGTACCCCTGGTTGGGAACCACTGGTCTAGAGAGAGCATACAGGAGAGATGTTGTAGAATTGACTGCTCTGCACTAACAAAGATTATAGATGTAATCTCCATGTGAGTGTGTGTGTGTGTGTAAGCCGGCTTCTATCTTTGTCTGCTTGTTCAGTTCCTCGGTAGAGGAGTGGACAGACAGAGCTGAGGAGGTCAACTGTGCTGTAGTCGTCTGCTCTGTGCTCTGTTAAAAGGGGTGGGGGTAGACGGGGGGGAAATCGATGCCTTTGTGTAATGTATCAAAGACATGGGCACTGCATGGGTCTGTTAAGCCATCGGTCATTTGCCGCTGGTGCAGGGGGGGTGGCTTCTGAGCTCACCATAAGGGGATGTCACCACTGCAGTGTGCGTGTGTGCTGCTGCTGCTCTGTGTGAGTCAAAAACACAGAACCAGACACACCATCAATCCTGCATCTCTGATGAAGAGCAGTTGCCTACAGTACATTGTTATTTTGACTGAAGGAGCTAGTCTAGATTTGTTTTTGCTAGACTAGCTATACATACTGAAGTACAGGTACAATAATTGATAGTGTCTTAAACCATAGTGTTGATTAGCTGTAATTTATGTGTACTAAAGTAAGCTGAGTTTGAGTTTAAAGCTGAGTCTGTGGATGTTGACTGTATGTTTATTTGTTTGTTTGTTCAGGACCCAGCGCCTCATTCAGCCCCAGTAGCCCAGAGGACATGGAGCGGCTGTGTGACACGTTCAGCAGGAGGATCCTACCAGTCTTAGATTTTATTAAGTGCACCAAACTAGCTGTGGGTATACGGTTACATGCTTTGAGTGGAGGAAAATAGAGCAACCAGAATCGATAGAAAGATAGGTCCTATAAGGTCCTTAGGCGCTACTATAAAGAGTGATGCTGTACTGGTAAACACTCCTGATAGCAACAAAAGGTGCTGAAACACTGTGCACCACGTGCGTTATCTGTCAATTACCCTCTCTTCTCGCTAAGCACAGGCAGGATGCTGTGAAGGTTATCACGCCTCGGTCGTGGCTAGGTTGATATAGACTCATTTCCCTGTGCCTTGGTAAGAGACTGCTAGGCAGCAGCGTTAAGAGACGGCTAGGCAGCAGCGTTAAGAGACGGCTAGGCAGCAGCGTTAAGAGACGGCTAGGCAGCAGCGTTAAGAGACGGCTAGGCAGCAGCGTTAACATTTTACATTTTACATTTTAAGTCATTTAGCAGACGCTCTTATCCAGAGCGACTTACAGTTAGTGAATACATATTTTTTATTTTCTTATACTGGCCCCCCGTGGGAATCGAACCCACAACCCTGGCATTGCAAACGCCATGCTCTATCAACTGAGCTACATCCCTGCCGGCCATTCCCTCCCCTACACTGGACGACGCTGGGCCAATTGTGCGCCGCCCATGAGTCTCCCGGTCGCGGCCGGCTGCGACAGAGCCTGGATTCGAACCAGGATCTAGTGGCACAGTTAGCACTGCGATGCAGTGCCTTAGACCACTGCGCCACTCAGGATTAAGAGACGGCTAGGCAGCAGCGTTAAGAGACGGCTAGGCAGCAGCGTTAAGAGACAGCTAGGCAGCAGCGTTAAGAGACGGCTAGGCAGCAGCGTTAAGAGACGGCTAGGCAGCAGCGTTAAGAGACAGCTAGGCAGCACTGGTAAGAGACGGGTAGGCAGCACTGTTATGAGCTGGAGTAATCTGTCATATTCTTCAAGCAATGTTTGTTCAGATGCATCACAGTAACTGTAACTTCATTTCAAACGCTTTCACACGTAGTTTGTAATTTAATGTGGCAGTAGTATACCCACTTATTTCCTAAAATCCCTGGAATTGGTGGAGTAAGAAAATGTTCTGTAATAGCGCAACAATGGTTGTTTATTTCAGGACATAATGTGGATCATGATTACTACATTTTCAAAGACTACATTTCCACAATGAAGATGAGTTCTAGGAGGACTGTGGTGTCCTTGATGTATTTTGTTGTTACTTTAATCATCCTTATAAAGAGGAAGACCATAGAAACATGTAAAAGGAAAGTACAGGTTATGTGGAGAGCAGAACTAAACGTACACAAGGCTCATCTCTTTGAGATCTGAGAGGAACTAATGATCGCTTTTTCTAAAGGATAATTTGATGTCATTGATTCACTCATAGCAGCTCTCTCTTGCTCACCTGAAGAGAACCACACACACACACATACATACACACCCCTTTCTACCCATGTATGTACTATAGCCATTAGTTGTACGGCTATTCAGTGATGAATTAAGGTGTGTGTTTTGAAAGGGAATGAGCAGTAATGAATGGAGTAGCATGGAGTTTCAGATTGGCTTGTAACAAAGACTTTGTTGGGAGGTTGTTTGCACTGTCGTTGTTGTTGTTGTTGAGATGTGCTCGTCCCTAGTAATTGGAGTGCTCATTTCTTGCAGTGCAGGCCAGACCAGTTCCCTGATTGGTGTGCTGTGTCTCGATCCTGTCTCAGGATTACTAAGCAGCATGTGGCCTAAGGGAGTCACACAATCGTATCACACACATGCACACACATTCACACACACAGACAGGGAGACACACACAGACAGAGAGAGATACACCCAGAGCGAGAGAGACACACATACTGCTCTCCCCTCGTGGCCCCTGGCAGCATGGCTGCAGGTCAAGCGGACTCTTCGCCACCACATAGACGGCCCTGTCACCGACAAACACACTCTCTCTCTTCCCACTGCTCTCAATAATTCAACTGGCTGATCACTGACCCCTTTTTTTCTCCCCTTAAGATGGACAATGCAAACTAAAGAGGAGATTTCATTTGGAGCCGCACAGCAGAGCTCTGGCTGTCGATTTCAGAAGCATCATGATTGTATTACATCTGCATCTGTGACACCGGCTCTATGAGCTGCAGTGACACAATGGTTATTAAATTAGTCACTCTGCAGCTGAGAAGGCTCAAAGAAATCCTATTATGTTGCTATTGATAAAAACGTGATCTTTCATCTGCATTCTGTTATGATGCGTCTAGACAAATTTGGTTTGAACACCCTCCAACAATTAGTGCACACAATGCTAAATTATGTGTAATTTTGAAATTGGGATGGGTTTTTCACGTCTGCTACTTTAGATGTAGTATTTTAAAAGATTTGTTCATGAAATACATCTGGGTCAGGGTTAAACTCCTCATATAGGAACAGTTTATGCTAACATACAGCGATGTAGCTGAAAATACTTTACTGTAGGCACCAACAATTAGATAATCTGCGTAGTTTAACTAGCAACATCATACATGCAGGAAAAGCATTGGCATAGAGGTGGTAGTAAAACGAATTTAAATACTGTACATAATTACTATAAAAATCTAACTCTATTGCTGCACTGTTTGCCCTTGTGCTGATCTGCTCTGTAGCATCCCAAACATTGCATGCGAAGGGTGGGGGGGAGTAGTACAAGAAAATAATTATATGAAATATTCAGGGAGAGCTAAACAAAACAGCATAGCTTGTAAAGGAATGTGTTGTTTTTTCCCTCCTTGGGATGTTGAAAGTAAACCGAGAAGGGTGGCAGGCCGGGACAAAACAAAACCTTGAGGGCTGTGAGAGGAGGGGAAGAGTCCCACAAAAAGAAAAAGGAGGTGCTTCTACGAGTTGTATTTCTCCCATGTTTCCTTGTTTCTCACATGCTGTGTTTGTTCCGAGACATCAGGCAGGTTTTTCCCCAGGTTCTGGGCTTGTGGAGAGGCTGCAGTATGCTGGCTACCTGGGACAGATCCAACGCAGCAGGGAGCAGACCTCCATCCTCCACCAGGCGCTGGCTGAGCTCGCTGTCGCCCCCTACCTGCAGGACCTCAGCCACGCAGATACCACTCTGGTAAACAACTAGCGGTCTCTGGCCAAACTTTGATATGCCTACCGAGTACTGACTCATCCTCTGTGCACTGACACGAAACAGGATGCAGCAACCTCAACATCACTCTGGTAATATCAGAGGCGGTACAGGGGTGGATAAGAGGTCTCTCCTGGGCCTGAGGTGATGTTATCTAGGATCACTTTAACAGCACACGTGAAAAAAAAAAACTAGGATAAGAGAGAGAGAGAGACCTTTGCTTTTCCAGAGAGAGTAGATAACAGGAGGGAACAGGGAAACAGAAATGGAAGAGGTGGTGTATGCAAGTCTCATTCAGGTATACAGTTTGCGGTGATGCTGAAGCTCTATAATTGTCTCTTTACTAGATTAGAGCCGCACATTGGCTGTGATATTGCAACCAAATCTACCATGAATAGAGACCAGGGGAGAGGGGCCATGTTTGTTTAGGCAACAACAGCCATGACAACTTCTACTACCACAGATATTACAGTACAGTAAAGGGGTCGCCTGTCGCAAACACTGGAGCCATGACGATGTGCCTCCTTTCAACAGGTAAGGAGCAAAATAATTATATTTCTGTCAGTGAATCAATTTAAATACCCAGCTCTTCTAGTGGATGTAAATGGGTAGTTTGGCACATTCACTCAGTACTGGGAGCCTGGGAGCTGCTCTGCTGTTCGTTTTAATATACAGTGAGGGAAAAAAGTATTTGATCCCCTGCTGATTTTGTACGTTTGCCCACTGACAAAGACATGATCACTCTATAATTTTAATGGTAGGTTTATTTGAACAGTGAGAGACAGAATAACAACAAAAAAATCCAGAAAAACGCATGAGGGAAATAAGTATTTGACCCCTCTGCAAAACATGACTTAGTACTTGGTGGCAAAACCCTTGTTGGCAATCACAGAGGTCAGACGTTTCTTGTAGTTGGCCACCAGGTTTGCACACATCTCAGGAGGGATTTTGTTCCACTCCTCTTTGCAGATCTTCTCCAAGTCATTAAGGTTTCGAGGCTGACGTTTGGCAACTCGAATTTTCAGCTCCCTCCACAGATTTTCTATGGGATTAAGGTCTGGAGACTGGCTAGGCCACTCCAGGACCTTAATGTGCTACTTCATGAGCCACTCCTTTGTTGCCTTGGCCGTGTGTTTTGGGTCATTGTCATGCTGGAATACCCATCCACGACTCATTTTCAATGCCCTGGCTGAGGGAAGGAGGTTCTCACCCAAGATTTGACGGTACATGGCCCCGTCCATCGTCCCTTTGATGCGGTGAAGTTGTCCTGTCCCCTTAGCAGAAAAACACCCCCAAAGCATAATGTTTCCACCTCCATGTTTGACGGTGGGGATGGTGTTCTTGGGGTCATAGGCAGCATTCCTCCTCCTCCAAACACGGCGAGTTGAGTTGATGCCAAAGAGCTCGATTTTGGTCTCGTCTGACCACAACACTTTCACCCAGTTCTCCTCTGAATCATTCAGATGTTCATTGGCAAACTTCAGACAGCCCTGTATATGTGCTTTCTTGAGCAGGGGGACCTTGCGGGCGCTGCAGGATTTCAGTCCTTCACGGCGTAGTGTATTACCAATTGTTTTCTTGGTGACAATGGTCCCAGCTGCCTTGAGATCATTGACAAGATCCTCCCGTGTAGTTCTGGGCTGATTCCTCACCGTTCTCATGATCATTGCAACTCCACGAGGTGAGATCTTGCATGGAGCCCCAGGCCAAGGGAGATTGACAGTTATTTTGTGTTTCTTCCATTTGCGAATAATCGCACCAACTGTTGTCACCTTCTCACCAAGCTGCTTGGCGATGGTCTTGTAGCCCATTCCAGCCTTGTGTAGGTCTACAATCTTGTCCCTGACATCCTTGGAGAGCTCTTTGGTCTTGGCCATGGTGGAGAGTTTGGAATCTGATTGATTGATTGATTGCTTCTGTGGACAGGTGTCTTTTATACAGGTAACAAGCTGAGATTAGGAGCACTCCTCACACTTTGAGTGTGCTCCTAATCTCAGCTCGTTACCTGTATAAAAGACACCTGGGAGCCAGAAATCTTTCTGATTGAGAGGGGGTAAAATACTTATTTCCCTCATTAAAATGCAAATCAATTTATAACATTTTTGACATGCTTTTTCTGGATTTTTTGGTTGTTATTCTGTCTCTCACTGTTCAAATAAACCTACCATTAAAATTATAGACTGATCATTTCTTTGTCAGTGGGCAAACGTACGAAATCAGCAGGGGATCAAATACTTTTTTCCCTCGCTGTATGCCGTTTAGCAGACGCTTTTATCCAAAGCTACTTACAGTCATGCATGGATACATTTTACGTGCGGGTGATCCTGGGAATCGAACCCACTATCCTGCCGTTGCAAATACCATGCTCTACCAACGGAGCTACACAGTTCTCCTCTGAGTTTTCAGTGGTTGTCCGGCCAGAGAGCAAAAAAAACACAGTTTTACCGGCGAGCGCTCTCTCTCTCTCTCTCTCAGGAAATGTTATCATTCAGAACACACACGCATGTTGGTGAATTGCCCCCAGAAAAGTCTCCTGTGTCTGGAGAAATAGAAGGGGGAAAGGTATTTGTGTAGTGAAAGCAGGAGCACCAGCCAGCCACCCCTTTGTGTGTGTGTGTGTGTTTTTGGTTTTACTATCCTTGTGGGAAGAGTAAAACAAGGAAAATTCTGCACTTCGCCGGTCCCCACAAGGAAAAAGGCTATTTTAGAGTTATGGTTACAATAAGGGTTAGGTTAAGGGTTAGTGCTGCAGATAAATGGGCTCCAGAGTGCAGCCCTGTGTATATTACCTCCTCCCACGCACCTTGATGGACGCAGGCAGGTCACCCGTGATACAAGTCGGTATTCGACATCCATCCATGTCTGAGGACGTCGGGAGATGAAATGGAAACCGGCCACTAGGGGGCAACAATCTTCGCTGTTACCTTCAAGTAGGTTTTGGTTTTGCTAGGGCGTTGGGGATGGTGGATGGGCGTAAGCATCTGACTCTCTAGTTCTAAAGGTTGCATATTCAAATCCAGTGATACAAAGTATTTTTGTTTTAAGACTGTCCCAAACCTTAACCCTTACCTTAACCATTCGGAGTTAATGCCTAACCTTAAGAATTCGGCATTAATTGCTAAACTTGACCTTAAACACTTAGAAATGTAACATTAGAGAAACATGGATGAATGTTCAATTCTGACATGAGACTGAGAGGATGTTGGATGGACGAGTGCTGTTTGTCAATTTGTCCACATTGTCTCCCCCTAGCCCACCGCTGCTGTGAAAGGCCACAGCGCCCAGGCTTCTCTCCATGTAGAAAAAAGACAAGATGGCAGCCCTCATTGTATGAGGAATGACTTATAAAAATAATCATCCGACAAATGATTTTTTAATTAGCTTTTAAGCATGTGTTTAGAGAAGTTATTGCTGGTGTGTGAATTGCGCTCTGATAATCTTTATCTCGGGCCCACAGCTGCAGGCTCTAATGGCAGACACCATGGACACCCTTGAAGGAAGGCGGACTGATAGAGAACGTGTGTGGAATGAAATGCAAAAGGTAAATAGAGAGAAAGTGAAAAGGACAATGAGAGGGATGAGGGGATGGAAATACCAATGTCTACACTGTACCCTCCAAACACACGCTTAGCATTCTCCCGACAAAATCTAAATGATGATTTGACATATCAAATCAGGAAAGATTTTTTTTATTTTGCGTTGGGATATCCTTGTGGCATGCCTGTCACCTCCATTAAGATTTACAATGCCTACTGAACTTTCAAATGGCTCCCAGGAGGGAGAGGCCCATTTCATTTTTCAGACCAAATTATTTTCTTTGTTAATTAGTGTGGCTTTGGCATTTCATCTCACTACGGTATGTAGTGCTGCAAACAGACTTGGCTTGAGAACAAAACCAAGTGTAAAGCTACTGTGATACTTTAATGCAGATCAGCGTATAAACATCAAGTCCTGTTGGGCTGGAGCCTCGTTGGACAGCTGGAAATTAAAGATAAATCACATTACAATATCCCTGATTGCATTTCCATGCTCTCTCTCTCTCCTGTGTGGAGTTGTTTCCTGGTGACTGGTGGTTATGGGACTGAGCAGTGGAGAAGGATAGGGAGGGGACCCAGGCTGCAGTCAGGAGGGAGGCAGCAGGGCAGCCAGGGTTGGTGATGAATGGGACAGGGGGAAGAGGTGGCATGGGGGGGCGCAGTGCAGTGCATCACTGGGTCAGTCTATCTCACACCCAGCGGAGCATGACCACATCCGTTAGTGATGGGCTGTATTAATCATGCACACACATCGACATACACACATACTCTATCACACACACACACAGACACACGCATATCGACACATACTCACACCTTAAAAGCCCACTGCAATAGGCTGAGCCCAGCGCTGGTGGATGGGTCTTTTCACCTCCTATCTGACCCATACATCATTCCTATGCAGGGTCTGTCAAACTGAGCAGGAGAGGGTTGGGCTGGCAAGCTGTTTCTGTTTCAATGTTTAAACATTCAATCGCTGTAATGGATACAGTAACAGTTGTAAATTACTTGAATTATTCAATGGGACACTACAGTACTTCCCTATTTTGATATTTAACAGATTTTCACTGAAAGGTCAAGCTTTACTTACGATAACTAACATCACATTTTCTAACTTATTGGTTAGTCACCCTGAATTTATTGTGCATGTTGAATTCACATTGTAATTTATCGTCATTGTGGCGGGTGTAATTTTCCCTGAGTTATCGGCACTGTCTAAAATCAGTTGTTAAACTAAGAGACGTAAGGCCATAAGGCTGCGGAAGGAAATGGAAGCACTGCAAGCAATGTAGATTACCTTATCTTCCACTCAGCCACGCCATCTCTCAAGTATTTTATGTAAGGGCCATTTGTACTGTTACTGTATGCGCAAATTAGCCGGTGCTAACATACATGCGCCAATCCACTCTTTAAAGTGCATAAGGTCATAAAATCTCAGATCCTCAGACCTGTAAAATCCATAATCAATGCCCGCCGGTATTTGCTTCATAAACTCAGCAAAAAAAGAAACATCCTCTCACTGTCAACTTCGTTTTTTTCAGCAAACTTAACATGTGTACATTTTTGTAGGAACATAACAAGATTCAACAACTGAGACAAACTGAACAAGTTCCACAGACATGTGACTAACATAAATGGAATAATGTGTCCCTGAACAAAGGGGGGGTCAAAATCAAAATCAAAAGTAACTGCATTAAGTACTGCAGTGCATCTCCTCCTTTTGGACTGCACCAGATTTGCCAGTTCTTGCTGTGAGATATTACCCCACTCTTCCACCAAGGCACCTGCAAGTTCCCAGACATTTCTGGGGGGAATGGCCCTAGCCCTCACCCTCCGATCCAACAGGTCCCAGACGTGGTCAATGGGATTGAGATCCGGGCTCTTCGCTGGCCATGGCAGAACACTGACATTCCTGTCTTGCAGGAAATCACGCACAGAACGAGCAGTATGGCTGGTAGCATTGTCATGCTGGAGGGTCATGTCAGGATGAGCCTGCAGGAAGGGTACCATGTAACGCACAGCGTTAAGATTGCCTGCAATGACAACAAGCTCAGTCCGATGATGCTGTAACACACCGCCCCAGACTATGACGATCCCGCTCTAGAGTACAGGCCTCAGTGTACCGCTTATTCCTTCGACGATAAACGCGAATCCGACCATCACCCCTGGTGAGACAAAACCGTGACTCGTCAGTGAAGAGCACTTTTTGCCAGTTCTGTCTGGTCCAGCGACGGTGGGTTTGTGCCCATAGGCGACATTGTTGCCGGTGATGTCTGGTGTGGACCTGCCTTACAACAGGCCTACAAGCCCTCAGTCCAGCCTCTCTCAGCCTATTGCGGACAGTCTGAGCACTGATGGAGGGATTGTGCGTTCCTGGTGTTGTTGTTGCCATCCTGTACCTGTCCCGCAGGTGTGATGTTCGGATGTACCGATCCTGTGCAGGTGTTGTTACACGTGGTCTGCCACTGCGAGGACGATCAGCTGTCCGTCCTGTCTCCCTGTAGCGCTGTCTTAGGCGTCTCACAGTACGGACATTGCAATTTATTGCCCTGGCCACATCTGCAGTCCTCATGCGTCCTTGCAGCATGCCTAAGGCACGTTCACGCAGATGAGCAGGGACCCTGGGCATCTTCTTTTTGTGTTTTTCAGAGTCAGTAGAAAGGCCTCTTTTAGAGTCCTAAGTTTTAATAACTGTGACCTTAATTGTTTATTATTATTATTTATTTTACATTTTTAGCAGACGCTCTTATCCAGAGCGACATACAGGAGCAATTAGGGTTAAGTGCCTTGCTCAAGGGCACATTGACAGATTTTTCACCTAGTCGGCTCAGGGATTAGAACCAGAGACCTTTCAGTTACTGGCACAACGCTCTTAACCACTAAGCTACCTGCCGCCCCACCATCTGTAAGCTGTTAGTGTCTTAACGACCGTTCCACAGTTGCATGTTCATTCATTGTTTATGGTTCATTGAACAAGCATGGGAAACAGTGTTTAAACCCTTTACAATGAAGATCTGTGAAGTTATTTGGATTTTTACAAATTATCTTTGAAAGACAAGGGTCCTGAAAAAGGTATGTTTATTTTTTTGCTGAGTTTATATCCTGAGAGTGACGACCAACCATTTCTCAACACCATCATTTATTGAGTGCGGCCACTCGACGCCTACCGAAATATTAGAGGTGGCAAGTTAATTTTCCCTTCTCTTCGGCTCTCTTCAACTGGCATAAATCAGCAGGGCATTAACTAACAAATAGAAATGACGACTTGATTCTGACACAGGTCTGCATAAACATTGTTTTCCTGCATACACATTGTTTTCCTGTTTGTTTTTGGCCAGTCATTATAAGGACATTGGCCCTTGCTGTAAATAAATGACATAAAAATAACTGCACTTTCCCCAGTTTCGGCAGACGGACGGCATCAATGTTTTCCGCTCCATAAAATATCTATAAGAAATGTGGACTGCACCGCAGCGCTGTAGTGTTTTACTCAAACTTCAGAATATTTCCAACCCCCTCCCCCTGAAAAGATGGAAAAGCTTACAATCAGTGCATCTGTGAGTGCTTGTACAGGAGTCTGTGCTCAAACGACACAAAGCAAAAGTACAAAGTAGTCCTAAACTGTGACTCACCACAAAGTTTCATTGTTATTGATTTGGAAACTAATTTGACTTGAAAACAGTGAAAAGGTCACAATGTTTTAAGGGCTGTATTGACTGGGTTATTTTGAATACATTGAGGGTCAGTCGATAGGGTAACACTCCGTCACCGTTGTGATGAGGGCTGACAGGTTTGATGGACACTTTGACAGGTGTCATATCACAGCTCAGCTCCATGGGCATGGCATGGCAGCCTCTGTAGACACACACATAGAGCCTGGCGGGTAGGAGCGTTGGGCCAGTAACCGAAAGTATTTTTTAGTTGTATTGTGTTTGTATATCGTATTTTAAATTTCTGTGACTGTTCTTGTCTGTCAGTGTTTTGTTACTTCCTGGACCCCAGGAAGAGTAGCTGCTGCTTCTGCAAAATATAATGGGTATCCAAATAAACAAATAGATAGATAGCACAGCCACCTCAGTCAGCCCCGGGCCCTGGGCCCTCTGAAGCTGCTGCTGCTTTTCATATAGAAAGTGGTGCAGATGCGGCCTGCAAACCAATGGAGAGGCTAATTGTTGTTCAAATGGAGTCCCAGGTTCTAAGGTGTATGGGGGGGGGGGGTGGAGTGTGTATGTAAGGTGAGAAAGTGCAGCCCCACTTCTCCTGCTCTGAGTTTAGGTGAATCCCCAGGGTATGGCTGTGGAGTTTGGTCTCAGATCCCACGAATAGAAACAGACACCCCAGCACCACCACCTCCACCATCAGACTGGCTCCTCTGTCAGTCACAACACACAAATCCCTCTCTCACCCTGTCTCTTTCAGTCTCTCTATATTGTATCTCCCCTCTATCTCACTCTTTCTCTTTCAGTTTCTTTCGTTCTTTTATTTCCCCCTCTCTCTCTCCTTCTCTCTCACCTCAGCCTCACTTTGAGTGCTCCCTCTCTGTCTCTCCCCGGTACTCCAAATAGGTTTTTCTAAATTCATCTCTTCATCATACATTCACTTTCATATTTCACTCCCTTTCTCCTCCTCCCTTTCTCTGGTATGAGCGCGGGCTGCGCACAGTAAATTCTCACACCAAGCCTTCACCTCACAAATGAATGAGGGAAGTACAGGCCAAACCCTACATCTCTACCAGGTAATTACTTCCCTGGAGGGGCAGAAAGGAGAGGAGGGGCTGAGCTGCTGGGCTTGGCTCGCAACACCATAAAAAAATAAAAAATAATGTCACACTAAACACAGTGAGGGAAAAAAGTATTTGATCCCCTTCTGATTTTGTACGTTTGCCCACTGACAAAGACATGATCAGTCTATAATTGTAATGGTAGGTTTATTTTAACAGTGAGAGACAGAATAACAACAAAAAAATCCAGAAAAACGCATGTCAAAAATGTTATAAATTGATTTTCATTTTAATGAGGGAAATAAGTATTTGACCCCTCTGCAAAACATGACTTAGTACTTGGTGGCAAAACCCTTGTTGGCAATCACAGAGGACAGACGTTTCTTGTAGTTGGCCACCAGGTTTGCACACATCTCAGGAGGGATTTTGTCCCACTCCTCTTTGCAGATCTTCTCCAAGTCATTAAGGTTTCGAGGCTGACGTTTGGCAACTTGAAGCTTCAGCTCCCTCCACAGATTTTCTATGGTATTAAGGTCTGGAGACTGGCTAGGCCACTTCAGGACCTTAATGTGCTTCTTCTTGAGCCACTCCTTTGTTGCCTTGGTTGTGTGTTTTGGGTCATTGTCATGCTGGAATACCCATCCACGACCCATTTTCAATGCCCTGGCTGAGGGAAGGAGGTTCTCACCCAAGATTTGACGGTACATGGCCCCGTCCATTGTCCCTTTGATGCGGGGAAGTTGTCCTGTCCCCTTAGCAGAAAAACATCCCCAAAGCATAATGTTTCCACCTCCATGTTTGACGGTGGGGATGGTGTTCTTGGGGTCATAGGCAGCATTCCTCCTCCTCCAAACACGGCGAGTTGAGTTGATGCCAAAGAGCTCGATTTTGGTCTCATCTGACCACAACACTTTCACCCAGTTCTCCTCTGAATCATTCAGATGTTAATTGGCAAACTTCAGACGGCCCTGTATACAGTGGGGGAAAAAAGTATTTAGTCAGCCACCAATTGTGCAAGTTCTCCCACTTAAAAAGATGAGAGAGGCCTGTAATTTTCATCATAGGTACACGTCAACTATGACAGACAAATTGAGAAAAAAAATCCAGAAAATCACATTGTAGGATTTTTTATGAATTTATTTGCAAATTATGGTGGAAAATAAGTATTTGGTCACCTATAAACAAGCAAGATTTCTGGCTCTCACAGACCTGTAACTTCTTCTTTAAGAGGCTCCTCTGTCCTCCACTCGTTACCTGTATTAATGGCACCTGTATGAACTTGTTTTTGAGTGAAAACCTCCTTCCATCAGCAACGGCATTGAAGATGAAACGTGGCTGGGTCTTTCAGCATGACAATGATCCCAAACACACCGCCCGGGCAACGAAGGAGTGGCTTCGTAAGAAACATTTCAAGGTCCTGGAGTGGCCTAGCCAGTCTCCAGATCTCAACCCCATAGAAAATCTTTGGAGGGAGTTGAAAGTCCGTGTTGCCCAGCGACAGCCCCAAAACATCACTGCTCTAGAGGAGATCTGCATGGAGGAATGGGCCAAAATACCAGCAACAGTGTGTGAAAACCTTGTGAAGACTTACAGAAAACGTTTGACCTGTGTCATTGCCAACAAAGGGTATATAACAAAGTATTGAGAAACTTTTGTTATTGACCAAATACTTATTTTCTACCATAATTTGCAAATAAATTCATTAAAAATCCTACAATGTGATTTTCTGGATTTTTTTTTCTCATTTTGTCTGTCATAGTTGACGTGTACCTATGATGAAAATTACAGGCCTCTCTAATCTTTTTAAGTGGGAGAACTTGCACAATTGGGGGCCAAGCTTCCTGCCAAGCTTCCTGACATCCAGGACCTCTATACCAGGCGGTGTCAGAGGAAGGCCCTCAAAATTGTCAAAGACTCCAGCCACCCTAGTCATAGACTGTTCTCTCTGCTACCGCACGGCAAGCGGTACCGGAGTGCCAAGTCTAGGTCCAAAAGACTTCTCAACAGCTTCTACCCCCAAGCCATAAGACTCCTGAACAGCTAATCATGGCTACCCGGACTATTTGCACTGCCCCCCCACCCCATCCTTTTTACGCTGCTGCTACTCTGTTAATTATTTATGCATAGTCACTTTAACTCTACCCACATGTACATATTACCTCAACTACCTCAACTAGCCGGTGCCCCCGCACATTGACTCTGCAACGGTACCCCCCTGTATATAGCCTCCCTACTGTTATTTTATTTTACTTCTGCTCTTTTTTTTCTCAACACTTTTTTTGTTGTTTTATTTTAATTTTTTTTGTTAAAAATAAATGCACTGTTGGTTAAGGGCTGTAAGTAAGCATTTCACTGTAATGTCTGCACCTGTTGTATTCGGCGCATGTGACCAATACAATTTGATTTGATTTGATTTGACTAAATACTTTTTTCCCCCAGTGTATGTGCTTTCTTGAGCAGGGGGACCTTGCGGGCGCTGCAGGATTTCAGTCCTTCACGGCGTAGTGTGTTACCAATTGTTTTCTTGGTGACTATGGTCCCAGCTGCCTTGAGATCATTGACAAGATCCTCCCGTGTAGTTCTGGGCTGATTCCTCACCGTTCTCATGATCATTGCAACTCCACGAGGTGAGATCTTGCATGGAGCCCCAGGCTGAGGGATATTGACAGTTCTTTTGTGTTTCTTCCATTTGCGAATAATCGCACCAACTGTTGTCACCTTCTCACCAAGCTGCTTGGCGATGGTCTTGTAGCCCATTCCAGCCTTGTGTAGGTCTACAATCTTGTCCCTGACATCCTTGGAGAGCTCTTTGGTCTTGGCCATGGTGGAGAGTTTGGAATCTGATTGATTGATTGCTTCTGTGGACAGGTGTCTTTTTATATAGGTAACAAGCTGAGATTAGGAGCACTCCCTTTAAGAGTGTGCTCCTAATCTCAGCTCGTTACCTGTATAAAAGACACCTGGGAGCCAGAAATCTTTCTGATTGAGAGGGGGTCAAATACTTATTTCCCTCATTAAAATGCAAATCAATTTATAACATTTTTGACATGCATTTTCTGGATTTTTTTGTTGTTATTCTGTCTCTCACTGTTCAAATAAACCTACCATTAAAATTATAGACTGATAATTTATTTGTCAGTGGGCAAACTTACAAAATCAGCAGGGGATCAAATACTTTTTTCCCTCACTGTATATAACTTCACGCTCCTCTGGAAAATCTGTCTACATGTGAAAATTGTTAGTTATTGCTTATAGCACACTGTAACTTGTTCTGTTCTCTTGTGTTTTGAATTGTTTTCTGCTCAGGTGGGGATGTTGGAGGATCTGTTGTTCCAACTGGAGGAGACGTATCTGAAGAACAAGGCTCAGAGGGCCAGTAGGAAGCAGAGGGCCGGGGCCCAGGGGGCAGAGGGGAAAGCCAGGGGAAGATCCAAAGCAGGGGTCAAAATAGGGGCCAAAGGAGGGGCTACAGTGGTGATGGACAAGGACAAAGGCCTTCCCACTGAAATCCAGCGGGAGACAGTAGTAACACCAATGACCTTACCAGACCCAGGATCTGACAGCCAGGACAGTGGAGGCCCGACGTCGTCCTCATCCTCAAAATGAATGGACACCCTCCTCTTCCCTCTCACAAAGCCTCATCTTCAGCCACAGCATCTTTCACACCATTACTCTAGGCTGGCAGAAATAAATGGAGTCTGTAGCCTTGCTTTCACTCTGATTTAAGGTCTTTTTTTAACACTCCTCCTTGTTTACTTGTTAAGATAGCGTCTCCAGCCCCACCTCTAGATGAAAGACCTAGCTGATTCAAACGTGGGAGTGTTCAATGTATACACAAGGATATGTTTTCATGTTTGAACTCACTCATGTATGCTTGTTCATGCGAGTTCTAATGTGACAGCTGGTTTGTAAACCCAAAAAAATCCTTATGGTGCAGTAGCATGATCATCATAATGTATGTATTACCATTATGGGATTCACAGCAAATCCAGCTTCAGATTCTCTGATGTTTCGAAAACTGTGTCTAACATGGAACAACCTTCATTAAATCACAACATTATCTTTATCATTATGTATGGTAAGCTAACAAGAAATACAAAACCTTTTTCCACAAAATCTTTTTCCACTCAACCCTTGGGAGGAAAAGGAAAGGGATTCAAATAAAACAAACATCCTTCCTCCTGAAGTAGCTAGCTGGAAACAGCAGCATAAACACTTTGTGTACAGTATGATGATCATGTTACTACAGTCTGGAGTATCCCAGTCATTTCGATGCCAAACGTGCAGTTTGGGGATTGATCGGTCAGGGCGAAACCTTGTGAGTAAACACAATCAGTGGGGCCCTCGTCACTCACATGCCCACGGCTGATCCATCGACCGGCCGGTCAGCACCAGCTTCCTCAAAGTAGTTCCTCTGGGACAGCCAATCACAGGCGCTCAGTGCTATCGACAGCTGCTCTCTCTCTTTCTTTCTCTCCTGTTATCTACTCTCTCTGGGATAGCAAAGGCTGGTCTCTCTCTTTCTCTCTCTCTCTCTCTCTCTCTCTCTCTCTCTCTCTCGTTCTCTTACTACTGCTGAATAATCCAAATTTCCCTATTTGAGGATTCATTCAGGGGGTCCTACTCTACAGTACCTGAATGTGTTTCTCTCTTTATCCCTCTCTCCCTCTCTTTCTTTCTCTCTCATCCCACCCTCCATCTGTCTCTTGTTTGCTCCTTTTCCGTTCGGATGGGTGCGTAATACCTTGGGGATTCTGTTGACACCCGAGTCGGCATGAGCAATGTTGTGATCAGCAATATGGGCATGCATTAGTTTATTCGCTGAATAGATTAATGGCATTTATTGAGTGATCAGGGGGAGAAAACATTGGCATTGTACTCTATTGGCATCTTTAAAAGATTAATTATGCCCAATGTAGTTTCCAATTTGTAAACAATTATTATAACCCAAGCCTACATTTTCACTGATTTGTGTAAAGCTGTTTATATGGAAATGGTTAGAATGGCGATATAGGAATGCTAATTTTGTAAGTTATTTTTTATGTTTTAATTGGTGTACTGTTTTGCAGTGTTGCCTCACTACCTGTTGTTGCCTCACTGCCACATGTCTAGGTTGTAGCTCAGTGGGCCAACACAGTTTGGTGGCGCAAAGTCGACCTGGGTTCACACTGATGCCTGGTTCAGAATTGGTCAGTTGATGCCTATTAGCTGCTGGAGTTATTGAGTAGAATGGAACTGTCATGGCGATAGTGTGATCACATTTTTCACTGTTTTTACTAATTGGTGTGCGAGCATCAAGTTAAACCATACCAAATGTAATTATTTGTTGTTGAATGAAGAGCCGCGTCTTGAGAGACCAGGGCCCGGTTTCCTGATAGCGATGGAACTTAGTCTTACAAGTGTTTTACGATGCATCTTTTTGATATATACACTACCGTTCAAAAGTTTGGGGTCACTTAGAAATGTCCTTGTTTTCCATGAAAACATACATGAAATTAGTTGAATAGGAAATATAGCAAAATGCATAGGAAATGTAGTCAATGACAAGAAATAATGATTTTTTAATTGAAATAATAATTGTGTCCTTCAAACTTTGCTTTCGTCAAAGAATCTTCCATTTGCAGCAATTACAGCCTTGCAGACCTTTGGCATTCTAGTTGTCAATTTGTTGAGGTAATCTGAAGCACCTCCCACAAGTTGGATTGGCTTGATGGGCAGTTCTTACGTACCATACGGTTAAGCTGCTCCCACAACAGCTCAATAGGGTTGAGATCTGGTGACTGTGCTGGACACTCCATTATAGACAGAATACCAGCTGACTGCTTCTTCCCTAAATAGTTCTTGCATAGTTTGGAGCTGTGCTTTGGGTCATTGTCCTGTTGTAGGAGGAAATTGGCTCCAATCAAGCGCCGTCCACAGTGTATGGCATGGCGTTGCAAAATGGAGTGATAGCCTTCCTTCTTCAAGATCCCTTTTACCCTGTACAAATCTCCCACTTTACCACCATCAAAGCTCCCCCAGACCATCACATTCCCTCCACCATGCTTGACAGATGGCATCAAGCACTCCTCCAGCATCTTTTCATTTGGTCTGCGTCTCACAAATGTTCTTCTTTGTGATCCGAACACCTCAAACTTCGATTTGTCTGTCCATAACACATTTTTCCAATATTCCTCTGTTAGGAATAGCCCTATTTGGTAAAAGACCAAGTCCATATTATGGCAAGAACAGCTCAAATAAGCAAAGAGAAACGACAAAGGATATCTGTCCTTTGGTCTGATGAGATTTTTGGTTCCAACTGCCGTGATGGACTGTCGTTTCTCTTTGCTTATTTGAGCTGTTCTTGACATAATATGGACTTGGTCTTTTACCAAATTGGGCCATCTTCTTGCAAGCTCCTCCCTTTTTCGTCCAAACATGATGGTCATTATGGCCAAACAGTTCTATTTTTCTTTCATCAGACCAGAGGACATTTCTCCAAAAAGTACGATCTTTGTCCCCATGTGCAGTTGCAAACCGTAGTCTGGCTTTTTATGGCGGTTTTGGAGCAGGGACTTCTTCCTTGCTGAGCGGCCTTTCAGGTTATGTCGATATAGGACTTGTTTTACTGAGGATATAGATACTTTTGTACCTGTTTCCTCCAGCATCTTCACAAGGTCCTTTGCTGTTGTTCTGGAATTGTTTATCCTTGCGTACTATTGTTTGTATAGATGAACGTGGTAGCTTCAGGTGTTTGGAAATTGCTCCCAAGGATGAACCAGACTTGTGGAGGTCTACACTTTTTTTCCCCGGTCTTGGCTGATTTCTTTTGATTTTCCCATGATGTCAAGCAAAGAGAAAAACGAGTTTTAATGACTCCAACCTAAGTGTATATAAACACTTCTGTTGGTGGCAAGAATTTTGTATAGTAATTTAAATTGAAAAACTCAGTGTTGAATCAAGTGTTGTTTTTTGTATCAGTTCATGGAATCGGTATCTTTCCTACAAAGGCCGAAGATGTAACATTTGTTTCCCAAAACCACACAGAGAGAATGGTCGCCAAGTGCATCGTTGGATCATGCGTTGATACTGATGGGATCGAAATAAAGGGAGTGCTGCTCTCGGATCAGCTTTCTCCATTCAAATCTTACCTTAATATAATAATACTGACGACGGATCTGCTCCTAGAGAGATACTGTATTACCACCTACGGCTGCCAATATTGAGGCGACTCATTCTAATGCCTACCCAATAAAAATGCACTAAATCACCAATTCGTCACATTTCGCACGTTAGGCTACACATCATGAAATGCATTCACCGAACAGTTTATTGGGTACACCCATCTAGTACCGGGTCGGACCCCCCTTTGCCTCCAGAACAGCCTGAATTCTTCGTGGCATTCTACAAGGTGTCGGAAACGTTGGTCCATGCTGACGCGATTGTATCACGCAGTTGCTGCAGATTGGACTGAGATTTATGCTGCAAACAGCCCGTTCCATCTCATCCCAAAGATTCTCTATTGGGTTGAGGTCTGGGGACTGCGCAGGCCACTCAAGTAAACTGAACTCTCTGTCATGTTCCAGGCAAAGTTTTTCCACTCCTCAATTGGTGATCGCGTGCCCACTGGAGCTGCTGCTTCTTGTTTTTAGCTGATATGAGTGGAATCCGGTGTGGTCGTCTGCTGACATAGCCCATCCGTGACAATGATCGATGAGTTGTACTGCGGCGTTATTTGTATGTTTGTAGCCCGCCTGTTAGCTTGCACAATTCTTGCCATTCTCCTTCGACCTCTCATCAACAAGCTTTTTTCGCCCACAGGACTGCCGCTGACTGGAAATGTCTTGCTTGTTGCACCATTCTCGGTAAACCCTAGACGTTTCACCTGTCGGGTGGCCGTTTCTGAGATACTGGATCCAGCGCGCCTGGCACAGATGATCATACCACGCTCAAAGTCGCTTAGGTCACTCGTTTTGCCAATTCTAACATTCAATCGAAAAGTAACTGGATGCCTGTCTGCCTGCTTTATATAGCAAGCCACGGCTACGTGACTCACTCTGTAGGAGCGATCAATTTTCGTGAACGGGGTGGTGTACCTAATAAACTGGCAGGTGAGTGTATATTGAGACAAATGACAGACAGTAAGTAGCCTACAAGTAGCAAAATGGAACTCAATTGATTGAACATTAAATGTATTTCAATATGATTAAAATAGGCCTATAGCCTACTGTTTATATTTTAATGCAGTCATCTCGGTTTTCATTTGAAGCATGTTTTTATACTTGCTTTTTTGTATCAATTGCAAAGACATTGGCAACTTTATTTTTGTAGTCAACTTTGTTTGAAGTTATCAGGTCACAGAGAGGCGAATAAACCATGTGATTCTATGTTTAGTGGAGATCTTCAGTGTATAAGGTTACGCTGGAGGGCAAAAAAGCATTAACGACTCACTTAGCTGTTCTACAAGTGGTCTTGGCTGTTCTATGAGGCGGGCGTTTATATTACGAGCGTTTTCAAAGTGAAACGTTTATAATGATGGTTTTGGGAAACAGCTCGGAGATTTAACGATGCTCCTACGAAGGTTCCAACGATGAACTTAGCCTTAAGATGCTTTTGTGAAACCGGGC